ATTCTAACTGCATTTTGGCTCCTTATCAAGTCACAGTAACAAAAAAGCCAAAATACAGAGCCTAACAGACGTGAGATCTCACTGTCTGCCTAATTTAGTTGAAATAAATATGCTTTTTTTCTCTAGAAGAGCCAGTTCCCCCTCTAACTGGGGTAAGAGATTATTGCCAAGAACTGACACTTCTCTTTCAGGGTTAATACCAATGCAACACAGAGATGTGGTGCTTTCTCTGACAACAGAGAAGGAAACATCAAGCGGAAATAAGCTAGGATTTTTTAATGACTACTAGCCAAATCTTCATAAGCCAATTAAATGGAAACCAAGTCATTTAATACAATGGCACCTGTTACCAAAGTAGAACTTTCTCTCCTAATTTTATCTTATATGTTACAAATTTTAATATATACAAAGCTTTTATTCTTTAAATCACTGTTATGGAACAAACCACTCCTTCCACCTCTATTTTTTCCTTTTTTTTTTCTCATTAAACTGTACAGACTTGTTCCATTTTCAGGAATATCTAGACTTGGTGAGTGAAGCAACCTGATTGGCTTCCATCCAGCTGGTAGCATCTTGAAAGTGATAAAACTCCACGAAGGCGAAACCACGGCTTACACCTAGAGACAGCATTCAGATATAGACGGGATACTTGTGTTAGTCAGTTCCTTTAAAACAGGTGAATCTCTCTCCAACTGCTTCATTACTTCATGACAAAGCAGCTTTACAAATGCGACGTCAAGTGCTGGGATCTGCTCGTTATTTTGCCATGGCAAGGAACCAAGCTGCCTTAACTGGCTACATTTCACTCGATCTGAATCCACGTTTAAGGGTAACCATGCAACACACTACATACTATTAAATGGGTTTACACTATTATTACTTACCAATACCTGTTAACAAAACCCCCTGTAGACAGACTTCTTTTAACATGTTGACCAGCTATCTAAGTCTTCCAAAAAGCCACATTCCTTAGCCATGGCAAACCTTTTTTTTTTTTTATTGCATGTGCTTGCAGTTTGGGGACAATTCTGGATACTCTTTTGGGCTGGGGAAGAGGAAGGTGATGTCAAAAACTGGATTAAGAGCTCTCACCTGTCTTTCTTTTCATCAGCCTCACGTCTGCAGGCTGAGGACCTTCAAAGGACTCAATAAGCTCACGAATCTGCAGGAGATTTTGATCCAACAGTTAAAATTTTCATTACTTGGCAGACAGAAGTCAGAGAAACCACCTACCTTGCAGCACCATGAAAGAGATACACAAAACAATGTTTTCAAGACTATCTCACAGACAAAGAAAACATTTGCTGAGAACCCAACAGGGCACTGATGAGCATCGAAGTCCACATAACCTTTTGCTACATGCTAAACCCACTTTAATCCTCAGGACACTGAACCATCCAGAACCCCAATGGCTATGATTGTGTGTTCTCAAGATTATTTGGTCAGGATTTGGCAACGACTGTGCATGAGGCCAAGATTTTAAAAAGGACTCTCCCTGCATGTCTAGAAACCCTTTGCTCCTAGCACTGAAAACCAAGAAGCCTGCACTGCAAGGCTCCATGATGAATGTATTCCTAAGCCTCACGCTAAAGATCTCATCATCTAGCTGACTCCCATTGGTTTTTCAGGATAAAGTAGATTTGTGAAGAACGTGTCATCAAAGAAAAAGCTAAAGAAATATCAGTTCTTCTGGTGTAACAAAGATGGCAGCTTCAGCCACTGTGCAGAGGCTTGGAGGAAAACCAAATACTAACAAATTCTTTAATTCTAGAGCAGAAGACACAAGGTTTTACAGCAGCTTTCACAGAATTCAAACTACATTACATGCAACAGGGCTGCTCAGCAGAATCAAAACTTATCTAAAGCTGCCCATTTATATGCTGACTGGAAATAATATCAGATATGTAAGTGAATTTTTCTTATGAAAAATGCAGAAGAAAAAAGAATTGCGCACACAACCAGAAGTAACGTTAATGTAAGAATTCAACTCTACATTCCAAGATGCATTGTCTACACACTGAGTCCAGAATTAAACGTTCATATAAATTATGCTAAAAATATTGCACAACTGTAGAGCTACACCAGTACCTCAGAAACAAGAACTGCTCTAAAGTGTTCTGTATAATGTCTGACTGGGCTGTCCTATTTGTATGCAGGAACCTACACTTGATTTCAAACACTCATGAAAATGTTAGAGCAGTGTAAGGTGATTAGGAACCCTCAGTGTCAGGAGAGTAACAAGTAACCAACGAAAAAGCAAAGGAAAAAGTCTCCATTGTAGAAATGGTGCAGATGTATTCTCTGTGCTAGCAATTAAGGCATTATGTACACATCGGAGGCAGAGGTGGAGTCCTGACTGAAAACAAACTGGGATAGCTCAGCTTTTACCCCTCAAATAACACTTGTGTGCTTATGTCTCGGTAACCAAAATAACCCAAGAAGCAAAAAAAACCCTAAAAAGTTACCATAGATAAGAACACCTTAAAGCTTTAACATCTTTTTAATAAATATGTCAGACAAGCAAGCACCAAGCTCATCAGTACTTGCTGCCTCAGCTCGGAGCAGCCATTTTGACTCCCACAGCTGTGCCCACACAAAACAGCTTTGTGCGGGGCTGGGCTCGGCTAAGGAGCTCGGTGACTGTGTGTGACCCCATCGGTCACAAGTTCTGGCCTCGATAAGACCAGAAAAACTGGTGATTGCCACCTCTTTGTCTCTGTCCCCCTCCCCCCTCCCTGCAGGGGAGCGAAGCAGCATAAAAAAAATCTGCCTCTTCCCTCCCACACAGAAAAGCAGCAAAGAGCAGATAGTTTAAAATCCACTCTTAAGGAAAGCATCCGCGAAAAAACGAGTATTCACAGCTCGTTCCGTTTGAAAGGGACTGATTAACATTGAATTGACCTCTATTACTTAACGCTGGGAGTTTAAATGCTTTCAGGACTCAAAATGGCAGCGCGACAGCGCTGGAGAGGGGCCACCATGATGCAGGCTCAACAAAATGGCAGCAACCGCTCCGGCACGGCCCTGCCGGGGGCAAGGCAGGCACAGCCCTGCCCGGCTACTCACATCGTTCTCCGTAACCGTGATGGGGAGCCCACGCAACATGATGGTCTTGCTTTCTTTTTCATCGTTAATATCGTTCCTGTAGTCGTGCTCGCCGTAGTCGCCATCGGAATGGTATCCGTCCTCCGATTTGTCGCTGTTCCTGCGCTCCCGCTCCCTCTGGAAGCCAGCGCCCAGGGTCAGCCACCGCGATTCCCCGCAGCGTGTCCCCACAGTGCCACACGGACGGACGGACGGACGGCGGCACGGACACCGCCCGCCTGCCCGGGGCTGCTCCCCACGGCCCGGGCAGCGCCGCAGGATCCAACCCGCTCCCGGTGCCCTCCGCCCCGCAGAGCCGGCCCCGGCCCCCCGACCCCGCTCACCTCGGGGCTATCGTAATCGCGGCTGTCGTAGTCTCTATCATAGTCTCGGCTATCGCGACTGTCGTAGTCTCGGCAATCCCGACTATCGTAGTCCCGGCAATCGTAGTCTCGGCTGTCCCGGCTGTCGTAGTCGCGGCAGTCTCGGCTATCGTAGTCCCGGCAATCGCGGCTGTCGCGACTGTCGTAGTCTCGGCAGACCCGGCTGTCTCGACTATCGTAGTCCCGACTGTCGTAGTCGCGGCAGTCTCGGCTATCGCGGCTGTCGTAGTCTCGGCTGTCGTAGTCTCGGCTATCATAGTCGCGATAGTCATCATAGCGGTCACCGCGGCGCTCCTCACTGGACCTCTTGTAGTCGTCCCTCCGCCGGCTGCGGGACTCCCGCTCGTCGCGGTCCTCCCTCTCCACGATGGAGCCGTAGCGGCCGCTCCGCTCCGTCCTGCTCACCCTGCGGGGCACAGCGGGCCGAGCTCAGAGCGTGAAGCGCCCTCCGCGACCCCCGCCACTGCCCGCCTCCTCCCGTCTCCCCTCGCCCTCCCGCCGCCGCTTACCGCTTGTCCGAGCCCATGGCGCCGCCCAGGATCCGCAGGCACCCGGCACAGCTCTATCCGACACCACACACCAAACACACCCGCGCAGTCCGTCTCGCTGCCTCGCCACAAAATGGCGCCTAAGGGACCGCCCGTCTTCTACCCAGCAGACACCTCGCGCCCCGACTGGAAGCTTCCAATCGGGGCGCAGGCGCAGCGGCCGCGCGGCACGCCGGGAAATGTAGTTGGGGAGTTGCCGCCATTAAGGGCCCTGCGGTCCGGCCTCCCCCCTCACGGGGCTGGGGTGCTCAGAGCCCCGTCCAGCTTGAGTCTGGACACTGCCAGGAGTGGGGCAGCCGCAACTGCTCTGTGAAGCAGGTCCCAGTGCCTCGCCACAGCACATTTCTTCCCCATATCCAATCCAAAACTCAGTTTAAAGCAGTTATCCCTTGTGCTATCACTGTGCCCCATCCAAAACCCCTCTCCAGCCGACCTGGAGTCCCTTTAGGCACCGGAAGGGGCTCTTAAGTTCCCCCTGGAGTCATCTCTTCTCTAGAGTGAAGAACTCCAGCTCCTCCCCCCTGTCAATAGCTAAATAGTTGTTATAGCCTACCGTCCCTTTGGGGAGCACCTGCCTCAGTTAAAAGTGAATAATTTCTGTCCCCAAGGGAGGACATGGGACTGTACCGCCACCTGCACTGCTCGGGCTCTTATGGCCAAGCCCAGGAGCTGCAAAGCCAACGAGACTTTGGCCCCAGAAACGTTGTCCTCTCCCTATTCCCAGCACAAAGGGCACCTCTGTCCACTTCCCATGACACCAGCAGCAGTCTCTGCTCCTGCACAACTGCTCCTGCCTGGACCTGGACCCTTCGGAGCACGGCAGTGCTGGCAGGAGCAGGCAGAGGCTGCTGAGAACCCTTCAAACCACATTCAAATGCAGTCTGACCTTAGCCCTGAGAGTTTCCTTGAGACCCAAGAAAAGATATTTAACACTCAAAATGGTGCCAATCTTTATTTTTTTCAAGAAGTTTTGTTAGTCTCAGAGCATGGCAGAGTGGGGCTGGCTGGAGAGCAGGGTGGGGTCAGGGTCACACCTCATCCAGGGACTGCTTGTGCAGGCAGCACAGAGCAGTCAGGGACTACAGAGAGACTGCAGGCAGTGCAGGCAGTACAGACAGACAGTGCAGACAGACAGTGCAGGCAGTACAGACAGACAGTGCAGACAGACAGTACAGGCAGTACAGACAAACAGGCAGTGCAGGCAGGCAGACAGGCAGTGCAGACAGACAGACAGGCAGTGGAGTCCAGCAGCAGGCAGGTCTGTCACAGGGTGCATGCGCTGCCCGGAGGCGTCACAGCTGTTTCCGCTGTCATCCGTGGGTGCTGCCTAAGGAAAAAGTTTCTCCTCTGGGCAGGCTGCCCCTCCTGCCTGAGGGCTCCCGGCAGCTCCTCGCAGGCAGTCCTGGGCAGCGGGAGCAGGTAGGACACGGCTGCTGCCTGCACCTCTGTCCCCACCGCTGTCCTCTTCAGCTGGGACTGGCAGGGGCCACAGCACACAGGGGCTGTCCGAGCCCCCTCCTGCCCGAATCAAAGCATTTCCCCGGTCTTGACAGCAACCGGTGGGGGGATGACATTTAGCGTCTGGAGGCATGTCATTGCATTGGTTCCCCTCTTGACTGTCCCTGGGGGCACAGAGCTGGCTGAGCCTTGGGGACCCCCTCCTGTGGATTGGGGGTTCCTGGTGAGGGGAGGTGGGGGCACAGCTCCCCTGTGCTCCCCCTCAGCTCTGTGTCACTGGGCTCCTTCCACTTTGGGGTCCCTCAGGAGCTGAAGGGGGCTGAGAGGCTCTTCCACCCACCCTGAACACAGGGACAGGATTGAGACAGTTTGTGGGCAGAGGTCCCACCCCCTCCTCCAGCCCTGCTGTGGGCTGAAGGCGAAGGGAAAGCAAGGCACAGCCCACCGGCCTTTCCCGGAAGGGCAGCATGGCATCTCTCACCTCTCCCTCTGCTGTCTCCAAAGGTTTTTCTGGGGGATTAAGGCTGTGCTGACCCGGCAGCAGCAGGGGGGCTCAGTCATGGCTTCCAAGCGCCAAGCTTCTTCCTCAAAGCAGCCAGACAGCAGGGAAAAGAATCCGAAAGTGGAAGAGGAGGACCACACCTGGAGCTCCACCTTGGCAACGCTGAAAACTGCTCCCAAGGAGAAGCCGCCTGCCACAATTGATGGGCTGTGCCCCCTGAGCACAGCACCGGGTGCCCGGGTGAGAGCAGGGCTGAGCTGCTCAGAGGGGCAGGGGTGGGAAGCTTGGGGAGTCTCAGACCAGCCCCTGTCCTGTTGACACAGGGTCAGCCCCAGTTTTCCATGCAGACCCCGCATGTTCCCGCTGGGATATTTCTGCATCCTCTCCTTCCCCGAACGCTCCCAGGTGCCAGCCCAGGTCATGTCACTCACTACAGGTCTATGAGGACTATAACTGCACCCTGAACCAGACCAACATCAGTGCCAACAACAACAAGTTCTACATCATCCAGCTCCTGGAGCATGACAGTGCCTACAGTGTCTGGAGCCGCTGGGGCCGCGTGGTGAGTCCACCCGGGCATCGCTCATCCCCCACACCTCAGCTGTCCCCACCCTGCCTTCAGAGCCCCAAAAATTGAGGGTGAACCTGGGGGTCCCTGGTCCCAAAGCAAGCACCCAAGTGTCTTGCTATAGTGCTTTAATGGGGGGGCTTTAAGGACTTTTCCCCACACAATATAGTCAGCCTGTCTGGGGCACGTGGCACCTGTCCCTGCAGTGAATGTGAGTGTGACAGCCCAGCAAGGCGTCCTGGGGTGTCTCCCTGAGCTGGTGGCTTAGCACATTCCTGCTCATTGCCCCACAGCCTTGCTATCATAGCCCTCCTTGTTCCTGCCTGCCTGCTTCCACTGGCATGGGGCTGGTGGAGCAGGGATGCAGGGGAGGTCCTGACCACTGCTGTCCACTGCCAGGGAGAGACAGGCCAGTCCAACCTCATGCCCTGTGCTTCCCTGGAAGCTGCCAAGAAGGACTTTGAGAAGAAGTTTCGAGAGAAGACCAAGAACAGCTGGGCAACAAGGGAGAACTTTGTTGCCCACCCAGGGAAGTACACGCTCATTGAGGTGCAGCCAGGGGCTGGGCAAGAGGTGGAGGCTGCACTCAGGGTGAGTGCTGGGATATTGTGACCATGGTGGGATGGTCCTCATTGCACTCCTGGCCCACTGAACACCAGGACCAAGAGGGTCAGCAGGATGGGATGGGTTTTGAGGGGGGTCTGTGTGCTTGCTGAAACAGCTTGCTGGCAGAGATTTGGGGCTAATGGGTTAAAATGGAGTGGGAGGGCATCCTGAATGAGAAACATGGCCTTGTGGGTAGCATCGGCTATGGAAAGTGGAGGCAGCACCTGCCCATTGCTCTGCTGCCCCAGGACCAGGCTCTCCTCACAGAGGTGGGCAGCCTTGGTGCTGTGCTCCCACAGCCTCTTGCAGGCCCACAGCTGATGTGGGTGTCTGCAGGTGGATGCCGTGGATGGAGACAGGGTTTGCAAGCAGCGGGTGCTGCCCTGCACCTTGGACAGAGCCACACAGGAGCTGGTGTCCCTCATCTTCAGCAGTGACATGTTCCGGGATGCCATGCAGACCATGAATATCGGTAGGAGGTGGTGGGTTGGTGGCTGGCATGGGCTCCATCTGGGGGGTGCAGGTGAGGAGGTGAACAGAGCAGAGGTGCTGATGGATTTTAGAGCATTCCCTCTGATATCCTGGCGCCTGATGGGTGCCCACACTTGCCTACTGATACTGAAGGTTCTTGGAAGTAGCTGCAGGGCGAGTGGGGTGGAGGGGTTCACCTTGTCCTCCCTGGTAGATGTGAAGAAGATGCCTCTGGGGAAGCTGAGCAAGCAGCAGATCGCGAGGGGCTTTGAGGCGCTGGAAGAGCTGGAGGCAGCGCTGAGGGAGCAGCCCCCCCAGGCCACTCGCCTGGAGGAACTCTCCTCACGCTTCTACACCATCGTCCCACACAACTTTGGGCGGGCACGGCCACCCACCATCAACTCCCCTGACCTGCTGCGTGCCAAGAAGGACATGCTGTTGGTGAGATGCCAGAGCACGTAGTATGTGACATCCCCTCCTGGTGGGGCAGGAGCTGCTGGCAGCAGGCTGGGCTTGCCCTGGTCCCCCAGCACAGTGCCCAGCACTGGTGCTGAGGATGTCCCTGCTCTGCCCCTGCCAGGTGCTGGCTGACATTGAGGTTGCACAGAGCCTGCAGGCACAGAAAGAGAAGGAGGAGGAGAAAGAAGTTGCCCACCCATTGGATCAGGATTATGCCCTGCTGTGCTGCCAGCTCTCCCTGCTTGACCCAGCTTCCCGGGAATACCAGGTACTGCTTGTGCCACAGTGTCCCATAATGGGAAACAATTATGTCAGGCCTGTGGGCACCCCAAAGGTTCCTATTGTCCCAGGGGGACCGTGGGCATTGCTGAGATGGCTGCCTGGAGTGAGACAGCATTTTTGCCTCCTCCTTGGCAGCTGATCCAGACCTATGTGACACAGACTGGGCACAAACTCCACATCCTCAACATCTGGCAGGTGGCCCGAGATGGTGAGGTGAGGAGGAGGTGATTCTCCCCGTATCACACTGGGGAAGCCATGGTTGCACCCCAGGATTGCTGTAGGGCTTCTCCACCCAGGAGGGGATTCAGCCCAGCTGGCCAGGGCCAAACAGGCACCCAGTCTCCTGCCCCTCCAGCCAGGCACTGGGGCTGGACTGGGGAGGTGGGTGGCAGTCCTCCACCCCTGGGCACCCATGTGTCCCTCTGTGGACAGCCTTTAGCTGTGCATCTCTCCAGGATGAGCGTTTCAAGGCCCATGACCTCCTGGAGCACCGGCGCCTGCTGTGGCACGGCACCAACGTGGCAGTGGTGGCGGCCATCCTGAAGAGCGGGCTGCGCATCATGCCTCACTCCGGCGGGCGCGTGGGCAAGGGCATCTACTTTGCCTCAGAGAACAGCAAATCAGCCTGCTATGGTGAGGGTCCTGGGATGGGCTGGGCTGCTTGTGATGCCCACAGGCTCTGTGTGAGCCTGGCTGCCTTTGCATACCCCCTGCCAGGCAGCTGTGGGCCTGCCGAGCCCCTTCCTTGCCATGGTAATTGGTCCTTGTGCTCCAGCATGGCCTGGGCACAACCAGGTGGGAGTACCAGGGATGGTGCTATCATTCACATCCGTTTCTCCCATGGCAGTGGGCTGTACATCTAAGAATGTTGGCATCATGTTCCTGACGGAGGTGGCCCTGGGCAAGCCCTACCGCATCACCTGCGATGACCCCACGCTGTGTCAGCCACCTGCTGGCTATGACAGTGTCCTGGCCTGTGGCCGGACAGAGCCGGGTGAGCTGGGGGCAGGAGGGCTGTGGCAGCTCTGGGGCTGTGCTGCACACAGGGCAGGGGGGAGAGAGGCCAGATCTCAGGTGTCATGTGGTGCTGGGGTGTCTTCTGGCCCAGATCCTGCACAGGATGAGGAGGTGCTGCTGGATGGCAAGAAGGTGCTGGTGTGCCAGGGCAAGCCCATCCCCATGCCCGCCTACAAGGACTCCTCCTTCAGCCAGAGCGAGTACCTCATCTACAAGGAAAGCCAGTGCCGGATCCGCTACCTTGTCCAGCTCCGCTTCTGAGGGTGCCTGGGAGCACCACGGCCCTGGCCCAGCACCAGGAGGTGACACCCACCAGCCCAGAGCACAGTGATCTGGACTCTGGCCACCCCACCTGGGGCTTGGCAAGGGACAGGCTGGCATGGGGACTGAGCTTGCTTTGACTGTGAATAAAAGCACTGTGCCTTGCACCGGGTGGTGCTCTCGCTTTCCTGCCCAGCAAGGCGGGTGTGCTGTAGGGAAGGGTGTCAGTGGGTCCCTAAAGGGATGGCATGGGTGGCTCCTGAGGGGCTGAAGCCTTCAGATGAAAGCTGGTGTCTTTGAGAGCCAGCTGCCCTCATCACCTTAGCAAGGCACACGGCTCATGCCCACCCTGTGGCATCAGAGCAACAGAGGATAAGCAAGATCTGCTGCCATGCCTGGGCACTAAGGAATTCATCCATCCATCCTGAGGGCAAGTGCCTGCCCTCCCTCTAGTGCCATCCTCATGCCATGTCTGCTGTCCTGCCCCAGCCTGGCACCCATGCCAAGCCCTTCTCTGCGCTCACATGTGCCCCTTGAGCACATGTCCGGCTGCTCAGGCTGCCAGGGAAGGGCAGCTCCCAGCTGTGTTACCCTGATGCCCCGGGTATCAGTTACCCTGATACCCTGTGCCAGTGGAGATGATTTGCTGCAGACCTGCCTGTAGCTCTGTCCCTTGAACCCAAGGAACTTGAGGGCTGAGGTGTTCCTGTGGAAGGACCAGGCTTGGTGCAGTGGGTGGCCATTCTGGGGGGGCACAGGGCTCAGGAACCCCGATCCCCCCTCCCTGAGCCCCCGCCGGCTGCTAGGACCCAGCAGCTGTCCCCGTGGGACTGCCACGGGTGCAGGCAGCGCCGGGAGTGACAGCTGGTGCCATCCGCAGCTGGCGGGCTGCAGGCAAACAGGATGACGAGCGGGTGACGGGAGCGGGGAAGGGCGAGCGTGGCCTCACACAGGGCCGGCAGCCCCGGTTCTGCTGCAGGAGCAACACCAGCAAGCAGGACCCCAGTGAGGAGAGGAGCATCACCCACCTCCCCAGGAGCAAAGGTGCGCTGAATCCCACCCACCCTGGGGTCCCCTGTGGCCAGAGCAAGAGGGTTGGGACAGGCAAGTTGTGCTGTCCCACCTCAGGACATACTGGTGCCATTGAAGAGGGGGGATGGGGTGTCAGCTTGGCATGGGTGCCCACGGGACCCAGCTATGCTATCCCTGGCCAGACTGGGAACAGCCTGGGTGGCAGTTCTGGGAGAGCCAGGGTGATATGACTTCACTGGCTACCTCTCCCTCCTTCAGCATCTTGGAAGTGTGCTAGTTGTCTCTGTGTTTCTCTGTGGCTCTTCTCCATTTTGGTTCGTTCCCTTCACACCTGGCTCCTGATCCCAACAGGCAAGGAGAAGGTATCAGCCATGGTTGTGGTGGGGTTACCCTCTCTGGGACACAGGAGAAGAGCCCTTGCTGCCCAGGCACCAGAGTTGCTGGCTTAGCCTGGAGGGGGATGCCGAGCTGGACGGGGTCAAACACCACGGACAGCCTAGAGCTGCTCACCATCCCCGTGCACTCCATTGGCCAGGAGGTGGTGGGCCTCTTCTGCATGATCCTGCTCACCCTCACCGCCCTGGTGGCCAACATCGTGGTGATGGTCATCATCCTCAAAACGCCCCTTTTCAGGAAGTTCATCTTTGTCTGCCACCTCTGTGTGGTCAATCTCCTCTCAGCCATTTTCCTCATGCCCCTGGGGATCATCTCCAGCTCCTCCTGTTTCAACTGGGTTATCTACAGCATTGCTGAGTGCAAGGCCGTGATATTCCTGAACATCTGCTTCATCAGTGCCTCCATTCTCACCATCTGTATCATCAGCGTTGAGCGGTACTATTACATTGTCCATCCCTTGAGGTATGAGGTCAAGATGACCATCAGGCTGGCCGTGGCTGGAGTGGTTTTCATTTGGGTCAAGTCTGTTCTCATCACTGTCTTGGCACTAGTGGCATGGCCTCATGGCAATGGGGCCACCAGTGCCAGCCGCTGCACAGTCTACTGGAGCCCTGGGGCCCACAAGAAGGTTTTTGTGATCCTCTTCAGCATCACCTGCTTTATTCTGCCCACCATCATCATCCTCGCTGTCTACTCCAGCATCTACCGTGTGGCCCGGACTGCGTCCCTGCAGCAGGCACCTGTGCCAGCACAGGCAGTTGCACCCAGACACCGATGTGACTCCATTGCCAGCCAAGTGACCATCCTCACTGCCAGGATCCTGATGCTGCCCAGGCTGATCCCAGATCGCCTTCTAGGAAGCAACAAGGCCATCCTCACCTTGGTCCTCATTGTGGGACAATTCTTGTGCTGCTGGCTGCCTTTCTTTGCTTTCCACTTGCACTCCTCTGTCACTGTTGGCACTGTGGGTGGTGGGCATGGGGAGATGGTGGTCACCTGGATTGCCTACTCCTCATTTGCCGTTAATCCTTTCTTCTACGGGTTGCTGAACCGCCAAATCCGTGAGGAGCTGGCCCGGCTCCGGCGCAGCTGTCTTAACCATCCACTTGGTCAGGAGCTCTGTCTTTCCATATCAGAGGCTTCTGTTCAGGAAAACTTCTTGCAGTTCCTCCAGAGAGCAACTTGCACACTGGAGACCCACACCAGCTGCATCAGCCCCAGCCCCAGGAACAGGCTGGACCAGACCACAACGGGCTTCCCCACCCCAGGTCAAGTTCCCGAAGAGAACAGCTGAGAAGGAGGCTCTGTCCCACTGTGCTGGGCAGGAGACCTCCAGGGACCCATCAGACCTGCCTGGACCAAATCTCTTGGATTTGGAGGAGTCCTTGTGCAGGTTTTACCTCTTCTCTGAGTTTACGGTAAAAGATGGTGTCTCCGCTGGGAGAAGGTAGCAGATCTGAGGAAATCACATCTCTCTTCTGCAGGTTGGAAGTGTCTCTGGCTCCACCAGCACAGCCCAGTTCCAGGGATGGGCTCTCCTCAAGACCTGGAGTGTGCAGGGGCAGGGGATGGGACCCCTCCATCTCCACTGCCCCAGTGGAGCACGCCTGGCCAGCGGGGAAGGGCCGATGTCCCTTGCACTCTATCCAGGAGCAATGTTCCAGCTAATGCCACTAACACCAGTAACACCAGGGCCCCGAGCCCCTGCTGAGCCTGGATGGCAGGATGGAGACTTCCATCCTCGGCTGTTTAACCCAAAACTAATGTCTGTGTGGAGGAGCTTTTGCTCCCTGTGACACTGATCAGGGGGACACACCCACAGGGCTGGCTTTGGCTTTGTGTCACTGTTTGTCCTGCTGGCATGGCAGCATGCAATGCCAGTGGCCATGCCCTCTGTCCCTCTCAGCTGGCAGTGATCACCGCCCTGGGGGGGAACTGGCTTTCTGGGGGTCTGTGCCAGGCTGTTTATGGACACAGCTGCCCTGTTTGAAGCCTGGTCAGCAGTGCCATGTGCCAGCCAACTTGGGCTGCTAGCCAAGGGCACGCTGGGTTGGACATGGTGACACAGGGTGGTGGGGGGTGGCTGTGAGGGCTGCCCCAGGGCAGCAGCAGCCAGAGGGGATCAGGACCTGCTGTTCCTCTTCTGTCTCATTGCTTTTGAAGGGCTTGGTGACTCTCATAGGGTCCCCACTGCTAGAAAGGGGACTGGATCCTTTTGGGGAATGCTGCAGGGGTCCATCACTCTCTGCCTGCCCACAAAGGCCCCAGGGATGGTGTTGGCATGGTGGGCTGGAGATGTTCTACTCCAGCAGTAACTGAAGACCTGAGGGAAAACTGCCCTATGGCCTCTCTAACTGCCCTGTGGCAGGGAGGGGCTCCAGGAAGACCCCCAGAGAGATGGGGCTGAAGGCCAGCATCCCCCCCTAGACACAGGGATGCCCTTCCAGCCACCACCCAAGTACCCAGGAGCTGAGACTACCCCTGCTCTGAGGCAAGTCTCCACCCAGGGTGGGGAATATTATTATTATTATTGCTATTTTCTTGTAAATTTTATCTTTTTATTAAACCATTGATAAGTTACAAAGGAGGAAAAAATATAGACTCATATATATACAGCATTTCCAAGCCAGCAGGGACTGGCTCTTGGATGGGGTTGCTGGGAGGCGATTGCCCCAGGGTGGCCCAGGGAGGGCCCCCACCAGAGCCAGTGGAAGCAGGACTCCTGGAGAGGCCAGGCAGTCCTCATCCAGTGGGACCTGGCTTTTGGGTGCCAGATGGAGTGTGGGCATGAGCAGGATGGCAGGGGAGGCAGGGTGAGGAGCAGGAAGTAGGGGTCCCACACCAGCACAGGGCACTGGGAGAAGGGACCCTAGGCCAGCAGGGACAGCCCCCCCACCCAATACTAGGACACATGGTCTCTGTGCAGAAAATCAGACAGGAGGGCACAGAGCTGCTGGGATGGACAGCAGGCAACAAAACAGCCCCTTCCTCCAGCAGGCATCACCACCAAGAAGACCCTTTCCTTCCCTGGGGTGGGGGACACGGGGCACCTGGCAGAGGCTGAGGTCAGGGTGGGTGGCAGGAAGGTGTCCCTGCTACTGTGTAACACCCTGGACCCCCTGGTCCAGCCACCAGTGGGGTTCAGTAGGGCGAGAACTTCTGCCGGTCAGCTTTCTTGGTGCCATTGGCTGCCGAGATCTTGGTCGTGTAGGTGGTGGTGCCACCATTGGGACCTGCTACGGAGGATGGGGACAGTGCCAGGAAGGACACCGGCTTCAGGCCGATGAAGTTGGAGAGGGAGATGGCGTAGGGGGTGCCCAGCAGGGCCGGGGGGGCTGGGGCGACGGCAGGAAGAGCCGCACCGGAGCCTGGGGCGAGGGGCTGGGAGAAGCCCATGCCGAGGTCCATGGAGCCAGGGCCTGGTGGCACCTGGGAGGTAGATTTAGCAGTCTCTAAGCTGGGGAAGAAAGAGAGAAGGATGATGGTGAGTACCATGATGACAGTGGTTGTCCCACTACAAGCTTAGGGTGCAGGAACTGTGCACCCCATCCCTTTTGGCACGTGTATCCATGGCATATCCTGGGTTAAAAAACTGGGCCTCAAATCTGGTGAGTCACGGGTCTTGCACCTACCACCTCAGGATGTGAAAGCACCACCTCATTCTTCCTGAGGATGCTGTGGATCCTCCAAAAGCTGCCTTGAGGTGCTGGAGAAGAGCCTCACTAACACCCAGCATGAGTCCCCCTCAGGCTGACACCTACCAGGCTGTGATGAGGTACTGGGCCAGGGTGATGCTGACAGGGGTCCCTGTGATGGTCACATGCCGCTCACTGGAGCCCTCAGTCTGGTTGCCAATCTTGATGTGGGCACCCGACATCTGCCTGATCTCGCTGATCTTGCTGCCGTGCCGGCCGATGATGCAGCCGATGAGCTGAAAGGGCAGGGACGGGCTGAGCCAGGAGCAGCCAGGGCAGCCTTGCCAAGCAGGGAGCTCCAATGGGCTCACCTGGACACCACCTACACCTCGGAGGTGAAACTGTGGAAGGCACTGGGAGGGCAGGGCATGGCTTTCCTTGGGCAGACCCTGCTTTTTGGTCTTACTCAAGACCCTCTTGCTGGCATTGTGTCACATGCCAAGGCCTTTCCTTGGCAAATTCTTCCCCCTGTCCTGTCCTTCAATTTCCCCTTTCTCTACCCCAGCTACTCCTTCCTGCTCCTAAGCTCTGGCAGAGCCTCCACTGTGTGGGTCAGTGGGTGCTGGCATCTGCAAAGTGCCACATGGGTGGGGACAAGCTGTGGTCCCCCTCGTCATTCCCAGACCAATACATACGTCATTGGGCACAAGGAACTCCTGGGAGCTGCTCTGGGAGCTGGCATCCAGACCTGGAGAGAGAGACAGAGATGTCAGCAATGAAGGGGCAGCTCTTCAGTAGCCCCTACCCCAGCCCCGTACAGGGATGGTGAGTGACTCTGGGGACAAACCTGAGGGATTGCTGGGGAGAGGAAGGGAGGACAGGACATAGACACAAGTCATGATTTGGTGCTGGAGCTCTCCCACTGCAGGACTGGGGAGCACTGGTGGGTGCAGTGACTCCAGGAAAACAATGACAAGGTTGTGCTGGAGGGGCAGGTAGACATGCTGGGGGCACTGGGACTGGAAAGGGTGCAGAGGAGGGAAACCCCTTCATCAGGGCCAGGTGTCAGGGTGGATCAGAAGGGGCACACCCAGCCTCGGGGGAGCGTGGGAGATGCTCACCTGGCACCATGGTGGGTGCATGGCCCAGGGGGGCGAAGGGAAGCGCATGCCCTGACAGCTGCTGCAGCTTCGTCACCTGCCCAGACAGTGCGAACAGGAGGAAGGTGGTGTTAGGGGTGATGGCAGAGGTCAGCTGTGCCCCAGTGCCCCCCAAGACAGGCATTCCCAGCAGCACCCATCCTGGTGGGCACAGACCCCATTGCCACGTGGACAAACTCACCTCTGCAGGAGAGACCCCGCTATACTGGCCCTGCATGGAGAAGCCCTGGGGAGAGAAAAATGGGGCATCAGTGGGGAGCCAGGTGGGGACCATTGTCTCAGGTCACTCCCCCCTGAGGCAGAGAGACTACCCTGAGCCCACCAGAGTTGCCCCTTGCTGGTAGAGGCTGCCCTCCTGGCCACCTCATGCCCTTGGAGATGCTGTGGCCTCTTACCTGATTGGCAGAGAGCAGGATGGTGCCCAGGGAGAGACCAGGGTGGTAGGGTATGGTGGCCCCCTTCGGAGGCGACTGGAGACAGAAGGAAGGAGGTGGAGGAGATGAGAGATGAAGCTGAAAGCCCCTGTAGCCCCAAGGACCCTCTGCCCCCTATGCCCCCAGCAAGCCGAGCACAGCCCCCAGCACTATGTAGGCAGGGTGGTCCTATGGGTCTCCACACAGGGGAACCCTGGTGTTTGGGTCCAGATGAGCAAGGGAAGCCTTGGGGAGGGGGAGGTGGGTAGCAGATGCCTCCTGGGCTGGGCAAGGGGCTTGGCAGGTACCTCCAGGATGACAGCGCAGATCTGCCTCACGCACTGGATGATGGTGTCTGGCACCCCCGAGACCGTGACAGCCCGTTCAGTGGAGTTGGGCAGCAAGTCACCAGCCACCTGCACCTGTGCCCCTGTGCTCTGCAGGAAGCAGAGAGAGATGCTGGCATTCCTCAACCACTCCCTGCCAGGGCTCAGCACCTCATACCTCCCTTGTCCCCCTCCTGAGCCCCCAGGGACCATTGCAGGACCTGCAGGGTGATGCTCCCTCTCCTGCATCACCTCCCCCAGCCCCTGTGGGACTGTGCAGCCTACAGACCCAGGGCTGTGTCCCCAGGGGAAAAGGGGATCCCACGTGCAGGCTACCCTCAGCCTCACCTCCCGGATCTCCCGGATCTTAGCTCCTGCCTTGCCGATGAGGGAACCGCATTGACTGGCGGGGATGACAAGGCGCAGGGTCACCGGTGCTCTGCCTGCTGACACCCCATCGCCCCCTGCTCCCAGGTCCTGTGAGGGACGTGGGATGCAGCATCAGACCCCCAGGATCCCGCAGGTGTGGGGGCACCTGGCAGGGATTTAGGAGGGCTGTCTACCTCCTCCAGCTTGAAGGCGATCATGGAGACAGCGCGGAAGACAGCGTCGGTGGAGCCGGTGATCGTGGTGATGCGCTCAGGGCAGGACCCTTCCGAGATAGTGATGCGTGCAGTGCTCTGGGGACAGTGTCACACCCCATTAGGGACACCACAAGCCCTGTGCTTCATGACTTCCCCCAGGGATAGCCTCATGGGGAAGACTGATGCCTTCGAGCCTGAGCCTTGCCCTTCCCACCTGCCCCAGGCAGCCTTCCCTGGGGTGCTGCTTTGTTTTCCCTGGTTCCACCTGGGATTTAGGGGGGCAGGCACATGGGAGCTGCCAGGTACAGGCATGAGAGGCAGAAGGACCTGGCAGCCCACCAGCATGCCCTTACCTGCTCTCGTATCCTCTTAACAGTCTCTCCTTTCTGCAGGTAAAGAAACAGGGTGGGTGGTCAGGTCCAGGGGAGCCAAGTG